AAGAAAAAAGTTAACGACAAAGAGGAACCAATGAATCCTTCTTCAAGCTCAACCAATGAAACAACAGATAATAATTCTATAAAATCTAGTAACTTCGAAGTAAAATTAATTACCAACACCACTAGCTCAACTGCTGTGAATACTGGTTGCCCTAAAGATCAATAATTACATCAATCGGGTGAGCACCCTTTCAGATGCTGAAAAGTACGAGCTTCTTTCTAACGCTTGGAAACCTGTTTTAGATTACACATTCCCTCCTGATAAGAATTCTGGCAGACGTTTTCAGTATAGCTGGTTATCTCGTTTTCCATGGTTGGTTTATTCTGCTGCCGCAAATGGTGGTTTCTGTATCAATTGTGTCCTTTTTGGTGGCGAAAGTACACACAATGCTAGCAAGCTACAACCATTAATGACCCTTCCTCTTATTCCTTCATCATCTGCAACACAAAAGCTAATTCAACATGCACAGAAATCCAAGGTACATGAAACTGCAACCATTCGAGCTTCAGAGTTTAGACGAATGATGGAACGAAAAAGCACGCCCATTGATGTCCAGCTCAATAATGCACGGCGGGAACTAATTGAGAAGAACAGGATGCGACTTAGTACGATTATCGGTGCTATTTTAACATGTGACAGACAAAGTATTACACTCCGAGGTCACCGTGATGATTCACAGTATTACATCGAAGATGATACAACAAACCCAGGTAATTTTATTGAGATTGTCAAATACGGTGCAAGATCTGGTAACATTATGGATGAGATGTTCAAGGATTGTCCTTCAAACCAAACGTATCGGTCAAAAACGATTCAAAATAAAATAATCGAAATATGTGGCGCAATGTTATCTGAGGCGCTTGTTACCGAGGTAAAAGAAGCGAAGTTCTTCTCTGTGCTGGCTGATGATCGAGGCTACAGATTGCTCCAATGTGGAACAAATGGCAATAGTTTTGAAATTTGTTGACAACCTAATGAAGATCCGAGAGGAATTTCTTGGTTTTATTCCCTGCCAAAAAGGTTTGTCTGGAGAAGCTCTATCTGAAGAAATCTCTAACTTCATCAAGGGCATTGATCTAGGTATGGAAGACTGTCGTGGGCAAGGATATGATGGTGCGGGAAATATGGCTGGTAAACTGTCTGGGGTTGCCGCCCGAATACAGAGAATTTATGACAAAGCTATCTATGTTCACTGTAATTCACATGTACTGAATCTTTGTGTTGCATCATCCTGCAAAATTAACGTTGTTCGGGATATGATGGATAACGTGCGTAACGTCTCTAATTTTTTAAATGACTCGCCGAAGAGAACCTTGGTGTTAAAGAAGAAAATTAGTGAAATTGTTCCAACCGAGCGCCGACAGAAGCTATTGAATGTATGCCGTACAAGATGGGTTGCAAGAATTGATGGCTTAAGAATCTTCAAGAACTGCTACGTGGCTCTTTTATCAGCACTTGGGGCAATTAAACTTGATAAAAGCAACGATCCAGATGTACGCTATAGGGCTGGCGGTATGAAGAAAGCCATAGAAAAGTTCGAGTTCACTGTGTGCCTAATTCTGGTAGAGCGTTGCCTTAAATGCACAAAACCGTTAACCCTCCAACTTCAGTGTGCTTCACTCGATGCAGGGAAAGCTCGCGAAAAAGTTTCCACTCTTTACCTCACGATTAACGAACTTTGTTCATGAGTCGTTCTATCAAATGGCTATCGATTTGGCAAAAGAAGTGAAAATAGAACCTACGAAAAAGAGAACGACTGATTCCCAAGTACATCGTAAAAATGTTCCTGTTGATTCCACTTCAGAGTATTACAAAAAGCAGTTATAATACCATTTTTGGATCAACTTATGGGACAAATACAGTCTCGTTTCTCAGAAGGAAACCTTGATGCTTTAGATGTCATGTATGGAATGCCAAATAAGGTGGTATCCGATCCCGACTGGAAAGAAAATTTCTCTCGTTTCCTCAATAAATATAAAGATGATCAACCTGACTTGGACTTTTTAGAATGCGAATTACGGTAGTGGAGACTGAAGTTTTGTAATCTTACAGATCCTCTTCCAACTTCCCTTGAGGAACTATTTCCTTATGCTGACCGATTTTCCTTTCCCAACGTCCTAACAGCGATGAGAATATTTGGAACCATTCCCGTAACGTCATGCAGCTGTGAAAGATCCATTTCAACGCTTCGGCGATTAAAAACATTTATGAGAAGTACAATGGGAGAAAAGAGATTAAAAGCACTGGCGCTGTTAAACGTTCATCGCGAAATCAAACTTGATGTGGAGAAAGTAATTGACCGTTTTGCCTTAAAACATCCCAGACGAATGTTGTTGGTGGATCTCCTAAATAGTAACGACGCAACTCTTGAAGAAAGTAAAGATGACTCGCCGTGAACATTTCCTACTAATTTCTCCTTGAACATTTCACTTCCGGTTTGCTGCTTTATTTACAGTGAACATTTTCCTTCCTTTTGTGCTGCTGTTTTAAGATTATTTACAGTTAACATTTTCCTTCCTTCGTGCTGCTGTTTCAAGATTATTTACAGTGGACATTTTTCTTCCTTCGTGCCGCTGTTTCAGGATTATTTACAGTGAACATTTTCCTTCCTTCGTGCTGCTGTTTCAAGGTTATTTACGGCGAACATTTTCCTACCTTCGTGCTGCTGTTTCAAGATGATTTACAGTAAACATTTTCCTTCCTTCGTGCTGCTGTTTCAAGACGATTTAGTAAACATTTTTCTTCTTTCGTGCCGCTGTTTCAAGATGATTTACAGTAAACATTTTTCTTCTTTCGTGCTGCTGTTTCAAGATGATTTACAGTGAACATATATTAACTTCCTTTTCGCTGCTGTTTTAAGATGATTTACAGTGAACATTTATTAACTTCCTTCGTGCTGCTGTTTCAAGATGATTTACAGTGAACATTTATTGACTTCCTTTTCGCTGCTGTTTCAAGATGATTTACAGTGAACATTTGTTAACTTCCTTCGCGCTGCTGTTTCAAAATAATTTACAGTGAACATTTACCTAACTTCCTTCGTGCTGCTGTTTTAAGATGATTTACAGTGAACATTTATTAACTTCCTTCGTGCTGCTGTTTCAAAATAATTTACAGTGAACATTTACTTAACTTCCTTTTTGCTGCTGTTTCAAGATTATTTGCAGTGAACATTTTCCTTCCTTCGTGCCGCTGTTTCGCTGATTATTTACAGAGAATAATTGCAGTTAGGGTTATTTTTAAGTGAAGTGAGCATTTCCCCTAAAATACATGCTGACAATGTTGGTTGAAGATGAAGATTTACAGTGAAGATTTTCCTACCTTCGTGCGGCTGTTTCAAGTCGATTTACAGTGAACATTTTTGTCCTTTCCTGCTGCTGTTCCAAGATTATTTACAGTGAACATTTTCTACTAACCTGATTCTTGCTGCTATTTCAAGAC